CGGGGAAGGCATGCGTTTGGGGTGGTCAGGGACTCTTGGTTGCGTAAACGTAATGCTTTTTAATTGACATTGACACAGAAAAGTATACACTTGTATAGGCGCATGTTGGGGTAGATAAAAATGTGTGTGTGTGTTTGTGTTGGTTTGAAACACATGCACACACACACACGCACACACGCACGCACACAAACACACACACACACACACACACACACACACACACACACACACACACACACACACACACACACACACACACACACACACACACACACAGAATATAAAACCTTTATTATAAAAAGTAGGTGATCCCGAAGGGCGACTGACTCAGTACACGAGAGTGGGTTAGCGTTTATGTATACACCTGTGTGCTGGTTGGCCAACAGGTGTTGTATTATGTGCACAGGTGAGTCATGCATCATTAACAGAGGAGCGGAACGACACTTGTTTTGGCTAAGGAATGGGTAGATGATTAAAAAGTGTGTCAATGTGGATAACGAACCATATTGAAATTCACGCTCAAGACCTACACATTTAAACACTTAGTCATCTAACTTACCGTGTGTAGGTGTTGACGGCGCCTCAAAATGTAATCATTTGAAACTGGGTTTTACCAACATTATATATAGTAACATTTTTAGTGGGTTGTCCAACGTTCTATTGGGGTGTCTTGTGTATTAATAATGTGTTTTTCGAAGAGAAAAAGTTGTTTTTTTATACTTAATGAAATGGTATTTACAGGATTGTCAAAGCAATATTGATATTGGGTTCAATAGCATTTAAATGAAATGCTGTTTAAAGGTCATATGAAAATGCTTATATGCCATGGATCTGAAACAACGCAAACCCAAGAATCATTATTCGGCCGTCTTATCACAAACTGTTTCTTTTCCATACTCCGTTATAAACTGATCAGTTGCTGTTTACCTCCAGCCCATACACCTGGCGTAAATGATATATATTATGCCTTTGTCTATATGAATAAAGCAACTCGAGGATGAAGTGGCGACGTGGAACCTGGTGGTCAACGGCCGGTGTCTAACCCAGGTGATAGCAGGCGTGGTTGTCGAGTGGTCGTTTTTACCTCCGCTTTTTAAGGAGTATGGTTGATGTTAAGGGCTAGTGAAGCATCTTATAAGGCTGCCGGTGCTTCGTCGCAGAACAGTTCTAGATTCCCGTGTGGATATTTGGAGGCCTTGAGGTGTTGCCGGTCACAGGTGCGGTCGGCGTGATGGTGGTGCGCGCCCCCAATGTGCAGGTGCGTCGGAGGAGGTCGTCCGCCCACCCTCGTCACAGGCGTCCCGAGAGCCGACTTCCCCCGCCTGCATACGTGCCCTGTCGTCACCTTCAGAAGGGCGCCCCTTGCATCCTTTGCCCCTCGCCGAACTGCGTAATTTGCCTTCGGTCTCGAACTTTCTATCACCACTATCTCTCATACTTCCTCTCATTCTATCACCCTCTCCGATGGAGCAACTTCTTCAGGGACATCCGTTTTTCTCGAAGATGCTTCTGCCGTCCGAGTGTCTCGAGGACGCAGCTCGCCAAAGGAAGTGATCAGATAGAGTGCTGGTGTCGTTTTACGTGGCCAAGCGCATCGGGTTCGGCCCAGACATACACGCAGGACGGACGCAGGACTGTGGTAGGACGCGACGGAGAAAGGACATGAAACAATAAACAAATACTCTTTATACAGGTGTAGGTGTTAATAGGAGCAGTAAAAAATAAAACGGGAAGTCTAGTAAAATGAGTATCCCTTCATTCGGGAACACGAAAAAAGGACACGGGATTCGAAGCAAAGTGGAATTGTTTTCGTTGATTTTGTCTCATTGCACTTTTCCTCGCGCGATTAGTTTAGATTAGTATTTTGTGGGGTTAACTTTAAGATTAATGTTTATTTTTAAATGACTGCATATAGGACTAAATGTTTTCGAGGTTATTTGCAGAATACATAACACGTTCTACAGAAAACCTGGAAAAAACTGAACTTCGATTAATTTGAAAACGACATTAGCCATGCATGATTTACAAGCATAGAATGTCATGATCATCTACTGTTATACTCCGAGAGAAATAGTTCTCACCGGCCCAGTAGTTTGGTAGCCATCGTAACAGTTGTTATGTGCAGTTATAATTGCATTAGCCTCGCGATGAATATGTAGAACGGTGCATTAAGGTGACGCGGGTGAACACTCGGAAGTTCTTTAATCTTGACATTTCTGGTATAATCCTGTTCCTATCAAAGCCTTGATATGATCTTGTACTTGATAATTTAAAAGCATTTTTTTCTAATATTTTTTTCTTGTCTTTTTCAGGTGAGTAACAGCAGCGAGAAGAGAAAACAAGGCGGCGGAGTGACGTACAGTAAGACTAAAGACCCAGTGTTTGTTTGGGGGAAATGAACGGAAATCTCCTCGTACGCAGGAAGGGAGGCTGCTGCTCTACTTCGCTCATTACCGGTACTTTCGCTGAAAGTCGTCTTTTGTGGAGGGAGGGCGAGAAGGCGAGAGGGCGAGAGGGCGAGAGGGCGAGAGGGCGAGAGGGCGAGAGGGCGAGAGGGCGAGAGGGCGAGAGGGCGAGAGGGCGAGAGGGAGAGAGGGAGAGAGGGAGAGAGGGGGAGAGAGAGAGAGAGAGAGAGAGAGAGAGAGAGAGAGAGAGAGAGAGAGAGAGAGAGAGAGAGAGAGACTGAGGCTAAGACTAAGGTGTTTGTTTTTGAGAGAGGGAGAGGGAGAGAAAGTGGGTGCGGCAGAAAGAGAAAGAGAAGAAAGAAAGAAATGAGGCAAGCGTGATTAGCATTAGTCTCCGAATCGCAGAAACGCGGCAGTGGGATTAAGAGCAGGAAGAAAAGATTGTAGATAAAAGGGAACTGGACGAGAGAAAGTGTTTGTTTTTGTCGTGGGTGTGGAATAGGAGAGAGAGAGAGAGAGAGAGAGAGAGAGAGAGAGAGAGAGAGAGAGAGAGAGAGAGAGAGAGAGAGAGAGAGAAGAGAAGAGAAGAAAGGAAAGGAAGAAAGAGATAGGAGGGGAGAGAAGAGAAGAGAAGAGAGGAAAAGGAAGAAGAACAACAACAACAACAACAACAACAACAACAACAACAACAACAACAACAACAACAACAACAACAACAACAACAACAACAACAACAACAACAGAAGGGTGTAGGCAATGCTTTCTTTTATTATATCTCGGGCGTTTGGGGTCGGGTGGACTTCCCTCATATTGTTCTTATTCATTGTCTTCGGTTTCTAGGGCACAAGTTTTCCTTTTTTTCTTTTTTCTTTTCTTTTCTTTGGAAGATCTGTCGTATTTCCGTTTTCCTTTTTATTAAGACGGAAAAGGATTTCTATTTGTTCGGTGGTTAGTTTTTGATTGTTTGTTTTGTGTGGGCGGGAGACAGTTGAGTGTCAGCAATTTAAGTATTTTATATATATTTCTTTACAGTCCGATGATCATTGTTTTCTTTTTTTACCTCTTCTTATTGTTATCATTATAATCATTATCATTATTGTTACTATCATTATTATTATTATTGTCAATATTGTTATTATCATTATCAATTTATTGTCAATATTGTTATTATCATTATCAATTTATCATTATCATTATCATTGTTATTGTTAGTATTATTAGTAGTATTATTATCATTAATGTCATTATCAACATCATCATTATTATTATTATTATTTTTTTTAATTGATCCATCATATGTGTTCAAAAGCCTTTTAAATGTTTCAAGATATAAAAAATGCAGGTCATGATTTACTACTGCACTTCAAATATGTATCGAGAAATGTAGCTTTTAATTTCAGTTTTTACCTACCAGTGAAGGATCTTTAAAGACGAATACTGAATAAGAAGAAAAAATAAGAAAGGGAAGTGTGCTATACATGTCAGGGAAGTTATTGGTCATACGTACATTTTTTTTTTAATTAATGCATTTCTTAGGAAGTTTAATTGTAAAACTAGTGGCGTTTGATGGCCTTTGTCATTGCTATCGTTAATTTTATTCTTATGATATATCACCATTGCTATAATTTTGATGATGTGTCACTAATGGTGGTTATTTTGCTGTGGTAATAGCGTTACCATTTTTAGTTATTTTCATTTCCTGTTTTGTCTTCGTTGTTGTTGTGACTGGTAATTAATTTACTTGTGATGACAGTTTTAAAATTAGTATGAACAGCCTGTTAGTCATTTCCTACGGCCACGTGCGTACTGTGTAATTCGTTAAGTGACCATGGCGATAATGGCACAGGTAATTTTGATAAGAGTGTGAATAATTTATTAGTCATTTTTCTTTGTGATTTTCAAATAACGCGTCATTCTTTCGCCGGGCGTGGTTGTCTCCTCGTACGCGTTGTTTTTTTCCTATATGTCGTCTGTTATCTATTGTCTGTCTGTCTGGGTCGATTTATTTTCTACTCTCTCCTGTCACCGACCAAGGGTACTGTTGCGGGCGCGGCAACCGAAGCCTCTGACTGAGAACTTGCGCAGGTTTACTGACCTTGGTGCCTCACGGTGCCAGCAAGGCCGTGCGTGGTCGGAATATGACGTAGGAGGGAAACGTAGGAGGAGGAAGGTCGCCCGTCATTCCGAGGGTGTCTGGCTAATTGCCTAATCGTTCGTCTCGGCGGATAAGTCCAGCTCGCTAGCCGCTTCTACGACGAATGAGAGAGAATGAGGGAGGAACGGAGCGGGAGAGAATGAACGGCGTGAAGCTTGGCGAGGGGAAGCGGCGGCGTAAGGTCAGAAGCGCCAGGGAAACTCTCACGTTGATTCTCTCGCTGGAAAGGTCAGGCGAAAGGCAGGCGTTTCCTGGGTGGAGTTGCGAGTCTGGCGCTTGTCATTAAAAGCTAAAAAAGATTAATAAAAGTTTAGAAGGAAGAGTGGGAAGGATCGTAAGGGCTGGGGCGGATCCTGCCGTGGGATTCTGCGTAGTCGTGGTTATCCTTTCGTTGGCTTATATTTTTTTATCCTTCGGTCATGATGTCCGGTTTTGTGTCGTGTGTTTGTTTCCAATTTCGATGATAATTGCCATATCGACAACGGTGTAATTATATCGGTAGTATAAATGCAAGTGTGAATTATTTTCCGCGCTCTGCATTGAATTATAAATAGCAGGATTAATTTTAATCTGACATGCACAGAAGTACAAATGAGAATCAGCCAGCACCTTTGTTGCTCCTCCTTGCCACTCTTGGGGAAGGGGGGGGGATGCCGACTCTGCACCACCGCCTCGGCCGCCGAACATGCATGAAGGTGACTGGAATAGAAGAAAGAGAGAGAGAAATAAATATGGACCGATAGGCTTTTCGCTGTTCGTGCCAAGGGCTGGCTCGGTCGGGACTCCGTGTCACGTGTTTTCAGGGTCGCCCGACGATCAAGGTCACTTCGAGTCTCGTCCTGCTTGGGATCGTCACGAATCAGGGGATCGGATCCTTATTTCCAGCGTAATAGGAAAGGTTAATGCGTATTATTTATTTAAAAATGGAGGGTTCGTGGTCGTGCGGGATCGCGAGACGGTCCCGTGTCATTTAAAGGGCAGAGAGGTCCTCTATGGCAGGGGCATTGACTCGCTTGTGAAAGAGGGAGGATGACGACGGCGTTTCGGAGGGCCGGAGAATATCACTCAGGTGTTTTTTTTTTTTTTTTTTTTTTTTTTTTTTGTGTGTGTGTGTGTGTGTGTGTGTGTGTGTGTGTGTGTGTGTGTGTGTGTGTGTGTGTGTGTGTGTGTGTGTGTGTGTGTGTGTGTGTGTGTTTGCGTGTCCGCATGTGTGTACGACTGCACGTTTGGGTGTGGAAGCGCGTTTGTGAGTAATATGCGTCCGATTGGGTGTGTTCTCGGAATGTGTCTATTTTAAGCCGAGCTTCATGTTTAGTATTTGACGTCATTCGAGACATTAGTTCTACAAATTTTCATACCGTTAATCCTTGGGGTTACATGCGTGTGTAATAGCGCGCGCCGGTAGAGTTGCACTTCCATTGCAGCAACAAAGACTTCCGGCCTTCCAGCAGATGTTATAATAACCGCAGCGTAAATACCGCTGTAACAAAAGAGATGTGATGCAAGAACGGCAGGGACATGTTTCACTCTCGGCCCTGTATGCAGTGCAGCCTCACACCAGGGAAAACTTGATCATGATGAGGATGGATATGTTAATAAAAATGTTGCTCTGATGGCGAAGGTATTTGAGCATGTGTCGTCGTTTAAAGGAATTGCTTCTTGGTTTGCGAGAACTTACGCACCCGAAGACTAACCTGAAGCTTTCTAATAGCGAAAACGGAGTTCTTTCTTACTCTCAAATTATCATGAAGTGCTTTCGCGAGCAGTGTCGAGGTAGCGGTAGACGCTGTGCTTTCACGCGAGGAGAGCCGTCATCTGCGCCCCTCCTGTAAATATAATTCCGGTATTTGCAGCGATTGTGATGGCCGGGAGGATGGCGTGCTATCATGCCGGCAAGCGAGCGGTGACGATCATGAATGAGAAAGGGTTTTAAGGAAGGGCAATTGCTCTAGTTTTATGGGCGAGTGAAATCCAGTGGCTTCCTCGGTGGCGGCGGAGGGGCGGTCGGGCCGAGAGTGCGGAGATGCGCCGCCGGCCGCCTCTGCGAACGACGGTCGTTTCTTCGGCTGCTGCGGCAAGGAGGGCTCCCTCAGCCGGACGACGACGAGGCACGAAACGTTTGACGGATTTTCAGAACGTTTGCAGGTCCTTAGTCTTTAGAGTCTGCTTTTGGCGAGGTCTTCGCTTAGTGCTGCTCTTGTGCAACGGCGCGAGACGCGGACCGAAAGCGCCGGTAAGCATAACGTTTTCGCTGTGGTGCGAATCGGCGGAAAACGGGATCGGTCGGGCTTGATAACTTGTTAATTTCACTTTTATTGAGGGAAAGTTGTAGCGCGAACCGACTAGTGTCAGGTTTCTATGGTTATGTTAAATAATATGCGGTGTGTGTGTGTGTGTGTGTGTGTGTGTATGTGTGCGTGCGTTCGTGCGTGCGTGCGTGCGTGTATCTTCGAACAGGTGTGTTTTGCACCTGAAAGAAACTTGTACAAATGCATTCAACACTTGTAATCTTACAAGGAAAGAAAAGGAACAAAATATTTATTAGATACATATTTTCGAAATCTCAGTCTTCACCTTTCATTACTTTGCCAAATACGCAGAGTCCTTCATTTTAATGTACAAGTAACGTTTTTTATTATTGTGAATCTTATAATGTACTTTTTTTATTATGTTTTTTTTTTCAGTTTAGATAGGCCTAGTTAAGCTGTCGAAATTATGGCCAAATTTCCTCGCTCAATCACCAGAAACATTTCTAGAACTTATTCATGCATAAACTTGATATACGGGCCACCCTGTCACCTTGAATACTCGAACGACGCAACAAATATGCTGATTTCCATACCTTGTGGATAGTTATTGTTTTCATATCGACTTGATGTGTCTTTGTTGTGAAAGAAAGAGGCGTAACGGAAAGAAAATTTGTCCTTGAACGCCGAAAAA